TATACAGGCATGACAGCAGAACAACTATTTTACACACACACACTCTTACAGCAGTTGCAGTTGCAGTTGCAGGCTATCTGCTGCGGTTCATCTAGTTTTTGTTTCTACGCTTGCAACCGCACAATGGCAAACTTTAATGCCCTTGATGAAATTTTATTAATTTTGCCCGTTTTCTTTGAGTCTTATTTGAGAGTGCAAAAAAGATTTTTATATAATTGTTTGCTTTCATATTCTGTTCAGTTCTATTGTAGCGTTAAGGCTTTACTTGTGGCTAAGTTTTTGTGGTAAATTGCTTGTCCCTAAAAACATTTTCAACAAAGCCAACTGAATAAATATTTGCCAAGTTAGATTTTGTGTTGATATCAAATTCTTTTTTATATTATTCGAAGAAATTTATTATTTCCTCAATAATTTATAAATATGCAGTAAACATGCTACATTTCAACAACAACAAATTTAATTAAAACTAAATATAATAATTGGAAGTGCAACCAGGCATAATATTTCGTTAGCTCCGTGTTAACCCTTATGCTGCCCCTAGTTTTAATTTGGCTCATTCATATTTTCGGCTAAAAAGCTCAACTTTTATTCAATTAGCTGTTTTTTTTTGTCAACAAGGGTCATTAAACAAACATTCTCCACGCCCACCACTCTCATTGGTAGCCTTGTTAATTATTGAGGCGAGTTCGTCAGGTTTTGGCAGGTTTTTGTGCTTTTGCGGGTAATGAAATTGTGTTTTGTTAAGCCAAGCGTTTCATGTTGTATTAAGTTTGTATATATACATAAATTAAGCTTTAAATAGGAAAAGAATTTTATATTAGTTAAAGGTAAATACATTTCGAATACTCTGGACAAAATGTGTATAAAAATCTCACAGCCAATGCTTTATCAGCTAATAGACTCAGCATTTGAAGTGACCTCAGCTTGAGGACGTATATATATTTTTTATCTTTCGACCCTAAGCTAAGTGAGCCAAGGTAAGTGGCACATGGCAGGAGACATCTGCCAAGTTGACAAGGTAAAGCAGCTAATGAGACGTTTCGCTTAAGAATATATCTTATTAAAAGTCAGCCAAATTTGATACAGAAATCGTAGCTCACAAGTTAAGCTTATTACACATTAGTTTAAGTGCCCATTAGCTAAATGAGTTTGAGCTTTAGTTAGGCATAGGGCTTCTGGTGCAAGACTATTTGATATCACATAATTGATTTAAATTTTGTGCACATGGGAAAACATATAAATCCCATTTCCAATTGCTGCTTATGGCATGCGCTGCTAGCATGTGATATTCAATAATAAAACTAAAAGTAAAGCTCATGATGAGGCATTCGTGCAGCACACACGAAACCAATCCGTGCCGCCCACACGCTGCCAGTAACTCAGGTGTAGTTAAGTGGCAGCAAGGTGAAGCGTTGCTAGATACGACTATAAGCTGATTGCACAAAGCAGCCGGGCTCTACAGATGCAGCGAGCAGGAATGCTTGAGTTAAGAGCAATGCATTATGTGATAATAAATAGAGTCTACACTCTGCTTAAGCAGGCGGCTTGCTTTATAGATTAATTAAGAGCTCTAAGTGGGTAACGGGAAGGATGTGAACTTAACAATGATGATGATAATAGTCAGAATAATTATAATAACTATACAAATTTTATATAAGAAATATTTCTTACGTTCTCTGCATGAGTCCAGCTCTCCATATATTTTTAATCATTTTGCTGCCACGTTGCCCTCCAGCTCTTAACCCTTCAACTGTGCTCAACTGTCAGCAAATATATTAAATATAGAAATCATGTCAGCTATGTACGCAACACATATTTCAATTATCGTTAAACTTACTTGGCAATCAGCTAAGCGCCCCGTGCTGTAGCTATGATTTTTGCCTGCAGTCAGCTCAACACTGCCGTTAACAACTTCTACCAAACCATACACACACGCACACACACGCACATATATCATTATCAAATGCAGCAGCTTCGCCACTTATAACAGACATCACGTAATTACTGTAATGAGACTCATTAGATGCGACGGCACCGGAAAGGCACTGGGATCCACGCCTGAATGAGCACAGCCAGTTGCACAGTCAGTTGCCCCTGGCAGCGGTTAAGCAGTATTTGTGTTATGAGTGCCACATACAGTGCGCTGCGTTAACTTGTTGCAAACAGCTTTAAAGTTGCCACTACAATCAGAAAAATAACGTTGGACCACATGAGTGTACTGAGGAGCCTATGCCCAAGCTGATGTGCCAAACAAAACATAGCAGCTTAGCTGTATTTGATGGCCAGCCCAAAAAGGCCAACAGCTGGAGATGCCGTTGCTGAAGCTAAAGCTGTCAACTGCCTGCTAATTGTTGTTAAATGTAATATGCAAAGGGTGCTGCACTCAGGCAGCCAGCTGCCGGTTGGGGTCTGCATACACACTTCAAATGCACTGCAGCATTTCGATGGATGTGTGAATGGGTGCATGTGTGTGTAAAGCTAAAGCTTTAACGGTTTCAGCCCAAGCTGTTGGCTGCTGCACTTAACGATGCATGCATGAGTTGGCTCAAGCCTTTGCCGCAATTTGTTTGCCTCACTGCTGCGGCTTTAGGCAAAAGTTTTTCAATCAATTTCATATATGAAAAGTTTTCATTTAATACACAAAGGCTGACAGTGCGTATGCTTAATAAAAAGATAATCAATTGCCATAATTGTTGGTACATGAACAGCAGCAGCTGCTTACCTTGAGCTTATTTTCAATTTTGTTAAGAATTTATTAATTTCATTTATAAATTTATATTAGAGCTGAAAGCTTTATATACATATATATATTTATATATTTTTAATTATGTTTTAAGTTTCTTTCAGCTGTGATATATTTCAATTAGTATCATTAATGGGACTTTGCAGTTCTGAGAGCCAGCAGATTGCTTCTAGCAGCATTTTATGATTTCAATCTTGAGTCATATTTGCAGCAAATAACTCATTTTCAATTTCTAATTAAGGGAGAGCAGAAAATATAGGACACTTTTGTTATTGAACAAACGAACGCAGTTCCAACTGTCATAATAAAATCATTTATAAAGCAATTTTAGACTTTTAGCAAAGTTCACTCAGTCTATTGGCTGAAATTACAATAATAAATTGGCCTTAATGAAGCTGAAGCGGAAGTTAAACTCCAAAATCAAATTTAAATAATAAGTAAGCTAATTACAGCCTTAAGCTAGCTATTTGCGGGGCCCCAAGGCGGGAAACCTGATATTTAGATAGAGGAATAGGATTCTGTAAGAAATAAGCATTCGATATATTTGTCAGCTGCAGGTGCTGCAGCATTATTGGATTATCTGTATGCTGAGCTCGCTTTAAGTATATTGTTTCTTATATAAGCTGAAGCTAAGCTCTCCATCTGTGTCTCTAAAGTTTCACTGAGATAGTCGTTTGTATTATATTCATTCACTTGAACTGCCTTGGCAACTTTTTATACCTGGAACAGTTGGGAGAGGCAAATGCTGTTAGGCGTTAGTCTCGATGCAGATAGACGGTCTTTCTGACAGTATGAAAGCAGCAGGGAACTTCAGATTTTAAATGTAGACTCCAGAACAAGTTAATCATTCAATAACTCAATATCAATAATTATTCATTTGACTGCAAATTTAAGCTTAAGCAGAGAGAGCAGTCAACTTAATTGTGCTCGTCTCTGTGACGAATACACAAAGTTTGAATAATTCGTATCTTAATTGCTCCCACCTAATTTTAAATAGTAGTCACTTTTCCTTCATCGAATATAATTTACATGAAGCAATCACATCTGGAATAAAATTTATTCAGCAACTAAGATCTCTAAGTAATGCCAATGCACAGCCCAAGCACAGCTGCTGCGAAAACCTTGCAGTAAGCGTAGCATGTCCTTAGTGTGTGTGTGGGGATAAGTTGCTAGTAGTTGCATAGAATGTCCTCAGTTCCAAAGTTCAGGGTATCCTCTAGTCGTGCACTCTCCACTTGAGTCTCCACTGCTATTGTTTTTCGCATAATTTAGATTTAAGTTCATTAACATGTTTTGTACTATGCCCTACAATTCTTATATGGCTTTTCCGCAGAGCCCATATTTTAAATTATGTGAAAACTTTCTCAACTCTCACACAATTCTTGCATAATTTTTAAAATAGGCGAAAAGTTTAATTTCGAATTTAATATCCATGCAACATTTGTTTTTGTATGGAAAACAACTTTGAAATATATTTATTTTTCTGATTTAATTTATTACATTTTATTAAACAAGCTTTACATGAATTATTATAGCTTCGTAGTTAGCTGTATGTAAATTACTTACTGAGTTAATTATATAACTAATTTTATAAACGAATTACCGCTATTATAACAAGTAACAAATTGTTGTTGGTTTTTAGTTTTTATTTCGAGCGAAACGACAACTTTTTTATCAATTAAATTACATTTAGTTAAGTATTTAGCATGTTTGCCTACAGTATTTAAATAGATTTAATGCTAATTGTGAAACATTCCAAGTGAGCTGCATTTGCATAACAAATGCGTAGTTCGATTTCGTTTATATTTATTTGCCAACATTGAACATTAAAAGTGCCAATTATAATTGATTGAAAATATTTGCTGGGGCTCGATTGCAAATACTTTCATCAATATAAATCATTGTATTTTATTTTATTTTATTTTATTTTAAGTTTTATGCAAATTTATACAACTTTTTTAATGCAGCCTTCGCTTATCACTTATATAAGTATTGTTTATAAACAGTCGATGCTTGTTCAACAATTTTATGTTACATATAACTAAATCAGAGTTCAATTATTATTATTATTGTTTAATAACTAATAATATGTAGCAAAAGCCAAGTTTCTTAAGTACAAAAAGCTGTACTACATAATTTTCGATTCTGCTGAATCCTATGCAAATTATTTGTAATAAAAATTAAATAAAATACTTAATAAATAAATATCGCATAACTGTTCATGTACATACAATATTTTATATAAAAAAATCGTTCTCTTTATTTTTGATTACCTTTTGTTATATAAATCAAATTGTTTAATCGCATGGAGCGCTTAGTCATCCTGCTTGATTTGCATTTGACAGCCGCGCATTCCAGCATGTGCACACGGAATTCTTATCCTGTTTATTTCCCTCTAGCTGTGCGAGTTTTTTAACATGATATTGCCAAGCCAATGGTGCGTATGAATGATGTGCATTATTATCGCTTTTTTGTTTGCATTGTTATTATTTGTATTTTGGCTGATGTTATGCAAAACGCCCTAATGTATGCAATACTTTATTGTGCGCACCACAAAACAACTTATCAACCGTAAACTGTAGATTTGGACCAAATATATATATATATTCTTTTTATTGAATTTCATTTACATAAGCAGCTATATCTAATTGCATTCGCGAAACTATGTGGCATGTGAGCTGCCATTGCTGGCGAGTGACAACGCTTCGTCGACACACAGGCGATGATCCACTGCACCGCTCGCATTGTCCACAACTACGACAATGGCGTGGCATGGCTTTGCCTCTTGGGTATTGCCGCCAGCCACATGACTGGGCGCTTGCAGCTGCTGGCTTTTGTGCTACAGATTCGTTACTTGGGTGGTCGTTGTAGTGGTGGTGGCTGCCAGTGTCACCACTTGTGGCTGCTTGTGTATCGGCACTTGGCACTTGTCAGGTGCCGCCGCTATCACTGACCGCTGCAGCCCGTCCGCCCGAGTGGCCGTCAGCTCGTCCTGTGCCACGGGCAGCCACTTCTCCAGAAACTTTGGTCGAAATAGCAGAGTAAATGTGCTGCGAAATTGTTTGCTCATGGAGCAGTAGAGTATGAAATTGATGCTGGAATTGATTAAAGCCAGTATGTCCATCAGATCACCTAAGGATGCAAGCAAATGAATTTATGTGCCGTAATTCTAGAGCTAACTCTAAGGTGCTATAGCTCACACTTACTCAGTTTCAGATAGCATTGCAGCAGAAATGCAGTCCCCAACACTGTGTTCAGCAGTCCCATAATGCCCTGGGGAAATTCTGTGATGAGGAACAGCAGGAGCACCGCCAGCAGCATGCGTGTGGTGCGATCCGTTTGCTTCTCCTTCTCCAGGGTTTTGCTATTCTTGCGCGGTCGCTCGGCTGGCTTGCCATTGACCACAGTCTTGGTGCCGTTGCTGGACGACGTCGCCGAAGCCGGCTTGCTGGTCAGCTTCTTGCGTCGCCTCTTGGCCTCCAGCAGAGCCAGGATGAGCCGCACCGAGAGTATGGTCAGTGCAATGCAAGGTATCAACTTGATGACCACGCTGTAGATCAGAAAGGTGGCATTCAGCAGCAAGGGCTTGTGCAGGGCCAGATCGCTGTGGGACAGCCGATAGACGGTCACGTTGCGCACCACAAGGGGCGCGGGCACTGCAGTTGGCGTTGCGGTTGTGGTCAATATGCTCATATTTACCCTCTGAGTATCATTGGCCATTAGGCTAGGGGGCGTGGCATTTAGCGCAGCAAACGTTGCAGCTTGCAGCTCGTTTCTATAGTCGATCAGGTATTGGCTCAGGGGTATGCTTTTTATCACCTTGCCTTCCGCATCCAACTGATCCATCCATTCGGCAATGGCCGTGATCAGATAGAGCGAGGGTGAAACCACCAGCACGCAGACAACATATGCTGTGGTTATGGTTATTATAGTGGTGCGCATGCCGCACCACAATCGATTCTTTTGCGGATAGCCCACTGCAATGTAACGCCAGACAGCCAGCGTGACTGTCAGCCAGATGGAGATCGTGTGCAGCACCTGGGCAAAGATCGAGTGAAACATGATGAAGCAGGCCCAGCCATAGCTGAGCTTCTCCTCTCTGGGCAGGCTGTCCTTCAGTATATAATCGTGCACCGTGTAGGGTATGTACTCCAGCATGACAGCCAGATCGGCCACGGCCAAGCCCGTCAGAATCGCGTTCGTGGGCGAACGCATCTCACGCCGTGTCAGCACAATAATGTTCAAGGTATTGGCTATGGTGCCCAGTATACATACCACCAGCGAGATATAGCCGTGCATATTCTTATAGCTGAAGGAGAGAAGGGAACGAGATAATGAGCAGATGGAATACTTAATAAGATTATCTATACATAATTTATCCGTTATACCTTGCCATGCACCTGCACACTCAAATACCTGTCTGGCAGTAAGAAAGTTTCTTGTGAATGTGACCTAAGCCCTGCGTGTGGCAAGGCATTAAAGTGGGCCCATCATGCTGTGGCTGTCGATTGGCTGGGTGGGTGCTTAAATTATAGCCTGTCTGTCTATCTGTCTGCAATAGCAATTAGATGTGTATCTAACACTTGGCTATTTGCTTTGTGCATCAAATGGGTACGTGCCAAATTGGCAAGGCGCACGTTGAAAGACGCCGTCACGGCCAGACAGCCTCAAACTCAGTCAGTCACTCCAAGCAGCATTCAAGTGGCGGCTCCCACAGAACAAAAAAAGTTAAGAAAAATTGTGTCAACAGTCGTAGAAAGGCACAGATGCCAGACAGACGTGCATTGAGTCAGGCAGTCAAGTGCAACCCTTTCTGACGTCCCACGCGACGTATGCGTAATATTAATGACAAAGCTGAAGGCAAACTGTGCGACACGCATAAAACAAGCAATTAAGATGAATCAACAGTCGTGTTCATTTGACAGCTCGTTTTTTTGCAACAATAAGAAAAACGTTTTCTTTGCGCCGCAGGGGAAAGCGACCAAAACTGATGCCGAAAATAAATTATTTGCCATATGAGAACGCAAAAAAAAGCAGATATAATAGAAATGTTTCTATTTTGATAGACAGCATGTTGCTGGGGCACTTTTGTAACGGCTTTTAACTTGTTTCCGTATATGTCAGCCTTCACAGAAATTGAGAGCGAAACGGAAGCGCTTCTGCTTGTTGTTGCTGTTGCTGTTTCGTTTGTCATTTGGGAAATAGACAAACTAACGGCAGGAATGTGGCGTATTTGCAGGTGAGCAAGCTTTTTTCGCATTTTTTACGCATATTCTAGAGCAACATTCATCAAAGAATTTTACAGAGCGCGCATTCCACGCGCGTTTTCTCTGGCGCTCTGCTAGTCCTGGCTACAGAGTGCCTAGCTTAGTTAAATTTATTGCTCTTGCTAATCCTTGTTGATGGATGGCCACACGAATGCTTATGTACGCATTAAATTCCTTTGTTTATTAAAGTCCCGGTCTCGAAATGAGCTGCACTGGAAGCGCTTCTGAAATGCCGTATCTAGCTGGACAAAAGTCCCTTGCAAGTTGTTTCAACTACTAATTGCTGGCCAATCCATTAGACTTTGCATAGTTGAACATGTTTGTTATGAAAATTGGAAATGCTGTGGTCCCAGTTAACCCATTTGGGCGTAATTTCCAGGTATTTCCACTTTGCTTTCTAGCAGCTGGCCCAAAATTTAAGTCTACTCAAGCGCACCAAATGGGCTGTTGTTTCAATTCTCCTACTGGTCGTAAGGCAAACACAAGCTGTGAATATTTCATTGGAAAGTCGAGGTTTTTCCAAATAGCTGAACATTAGGTGGCTTGGCAGGTGGAAGCTAGTTGCCTGATTCCCAACCGAGATATAGAGAAAATATTGAAGCTGACCCAGAAAGGACAGCTTGCCCAACGTTTCAAAACTCTCTGTTTCCCTTGCAGACAGCTACAATTAGCAGATTAGGGGTATCCATTCCATGCTGAGAAAACTCAATTTACTTTCCATACTTCCCTATCAGCAATATTTTCAATTACTTGCAGCAATGCAAGCACGTAAATAATGGGAAAAAACTTTTAGAAATGTTTAGCTTTCTCAGCGCTTTTGTTATGCTGTTTATTTTGCATTGTGGTTGAAAGTAAGATAGAGAAAACAATAAAGATTTTACCTAAAAGCAAACCAAATATATGTTTATGGCAGCAGTGGGATCGAGTGTGCAGCAGAGCAGCTGAGTGCCAAATGGCAGCGTGTGGCAGCTTTAAAGCTGCCTGTGGCTGAGTTACAGACTTGATTGCCTCACACTTTATGTAAGTTTAATTTCTTGCTGAGTAAACAGGCAACAACAGAAAGGCAAAGACGCACACACACACAGGTCCCACTCCTCCTTCTCCATTTAAGGGCTCACGAAAGAAGGCATCACCCTTGGGGCCCAGTCGGCACCCACGTACATATTTGAGGCCGAAAAGTTTCGGTCACCGAACTGGGCCGTAAAAATTTAGAAATATTTCCAAATGCTATTGCCTGCTGCAAACTAAACAAAAAGCCAGGATGTGAAAATTTTATTCGTTCTGTTGTAAGTAGGCAAATGCTGCAGGCTTACAGTCTTTATTGGCATTGCAGGCAGCGCTGTTTGCTCAGCACACACGACAACAACCAGCGTACCGTGTGTCTGTGTGTGAGTGTGTGTACTGGAACGTGTTCAGCAGAGACTATAAAATTCAAATGCTTATCCAATGTTAGATTGATAGAGCGTTAAGTCTCAAATATCAGCGCTGCGCTTAAATGCCAATAAATGTGTTTTTATTATAGCTGGAATTAATCGACTTTACTTTTGTTTTACTTTTTGTATTATGTATTTTTGATGGGGGCAATTATATACAATTTTATAGCATGCCAATGATATAGTGCAGTAAGAATATAGAAAATTATCTAGAGAATTCAATATATACTAGCTCAACCTTGCCATGGCATACACATATATACATAAATGGAAGCTCTGATTTCTGCGAATGCGAAACAATAAAAACTGAAATTATTTTGCAACACATTTTAAGTGGTTATAGCAAGCAGCAGCAGAGAAGCTGCTGCATAGTCCATGCACTTGTAAGAGTGTGTGTAAGAGTGTGTGTGTGTGTCTGCTATATAAGTGTGTGTGAGTGCTATATATTTTGTTATTGTGTATGTTATGTGATGGCAGGCACACACTCGACTAGAGCACTCTTATTCATTTTTATACCTATTGAAAATGAGCACAGCGGGGCATATGGTTTTTGTACGTAACAGAAATTGATTTTACAATAATTTTATATAGAATTTCGAGATATTCAAGTTGATTAATTTTAGACAAAATGTAAGCTAAAAAATTTGAAAAAGATTTTCGTCAGGTTGGTTGATGAATATATAGATAAAACGTATTTAATGGAATAGATTAACGAAAAAATATTTAGATTTTATAAGCTTAATATATGAAAGCGAACGAAATGTATATTATATTTTTTAAGCCGGGATCTTAGTACACATTTTTGTATTAATTCTTTATATTCATTCCACCCATGACTAAATGGCAAATCACAATGCAACTTTAACCCAAACAGCTGCAGATAAAAAGCTAAATAAAATAGTATCTGTCTTGTTTGGCCACCCTGTGCATGTAATCTAGCAAAACCTCGTCTCGCGTTACAGTACATCAGCTAGTCAAGCACTCCCCACTGGCACGCTCTTACTGGTTTTCCTATTATTTTCATATATTACTCTCATTTTATGTGCGCTGGGCATGCAATTTAAGTAAATATTTTGCGCTGTTCATATTTTACAGTTTAATTATATATAAATAATTTCATAGCTGCTGTTGCTGTCATAAAAAGGTCGTCGGAAATGCCACCCAACATCCCCAATAAATTGTCGAAATAGAAGTAAATGAGCTGCCGGCAATGCAATGAATTAATCGATTTCGGCAGTGCTTCAATTTCTAAATATCCTGCAGAGAGTTCAGTCGGAATTGTCCTTGAGAAATCCTCGGGCTGCAGACGCTGGCATTAGCATTGGCATTGCCATAGACTTACCTCGTATGGAAATTATCCATGCCCGTGCCGCAGTAAAGCGGCGTCGTATCATTGCTGCTGCTAGCCATGGCTGTTGTTGTTGTTGTCGTGCTCGATGTTATTGTTGTTGACACTCTAGACTGCCAAGGTCAGCAGCGGCAGTGGCGGCGGCAGCGGTGGCCTGTGCATGAGAAGCGTTGCCCGCAGATGCATTAAAAATTGAATATTGTTCAAATGTCTGGCGAGTTCTGAAAATAAAATAGAAGATACATAGCGTTAAACGTGGCGTATGATTAATATCAATTATAAATTGATGCGTATACGCCACATGCGCCGCAACTCCTTGAATATTTTATGATGCGCCTTCGCCCAAGCGCCAAAGTCGATTAGTAAATGCGACAAAAATTTGCCAGGCTGCTCACGTCTGTCAAGTGGCTAAATGGGGCATGCCTCTATGCCACACAATTTAATTGCCACAGTGGCCAGCTGCAATGCAACTAAATTAAAGCTCATCGCGCCTGCTGCAACCGACCCAGCTGACCCTAGCAAATCGCATTAGTATTAGTGAATATATGCTTTATCCAAGGGCCAAATTAGATTTGTATTCGCAGCGCACGCAAACAAATGGCATGTCTTGGCAAATGTTATCTATCTTGCTGTTGCTGTTGATGTTGCTGTTGTATCCCCGTATCCGTATCTTTCTATCTGCTTTGCTCAAATCTGCTCTAGCCCTCGTGCTGAGCTATTTGTTATCTGTCATGCGCTTTGCTTTGCAGTCGTTGCGGCTGCCGCACTTTTTATGCTTTCCACAGTTTTTAATTACATTTGCAGAGCAGCTCCACTTGGCCAACAGTTCGGGCTGCAGTAATTAACACGTACCGTGGCAGGCGAAACCGCAACAAAAGCTCCTTAAATATGCAGCACAGGCAATACACTGGTTAGCAGGCAATTTAATTTGTAATTGTAGTGAATTCTAAATGCGCAAATTATAGTTAACTAGCTTACACGCTTCTGCTAAATTGTGAGCTTCATAATTAATTACATTTGGTTGATTAATTTCTTGTCAATTGCTGAAATTGTGAAGTGCACTTGGCACTGGCACTGGAATTGTCATAGAGTTAAACGTAGCAGCTGCTTTTTTTAAATGTTAGTTAGACTAACAAACTCATATACTAGAAAATAACATTTTAAGTGAAGCTTAGAGTGTCTCTATGATAGCTTAATCTATGTTCTGGTTACCTTTATAATTGACAAATTATTTTTAAAAAAATCACTTTAAATTTTTCGCTTCTAAAACTTTTTTTATGTTTTTATAAATTGTTTTTGGCTTACTTTGTGCTTCAGTTTTGACGTCAAAAGATATCATAAAACTATTATTGCATGATTATCAAATTCTGTTTTATTTTCTATCACTAAGCCGAGTTATGATTTAAACAAAATCTGATTAGATTTATATGCAAGAAAAGTTTAATGTCTTCAGCTAAGCTAAGCAATTTCTGGCTTCAATTTGGTTGTTCTTTGCTTCAGCCACAGCTTTAACACTTATGGTGCATAAGAGGCAATAAATTCATTAACATTTGGTCTCCACACCAATACATTAATGAGGCAAAGACATTTGAGTTCGACACTCACATTCGAATATGCTCCCTCGACGGCAGCTGCCGCGCACTAACATTAAAATTCAAAGAAATACACATAGCCAAGAGTACGTATTAATTAACTTTTAATTACATCAATTATCGACTGTATGTGTGTGTAATGGCATGACAAATTAAATGATTAATTAGGCACATTTGCTGGTGCTGATTCGCGCGCGCACAAAAGTATGCTATATTTTTGCAACACTGAAAGAGACAAGTGAACGCAAAAGATTGGCATCAATTCAGAAATCAACGCAATCAATTACACAACAACAGGAACTTCATTTTTCGCCTGACAACCCCTATTAATAACAGAAATGTGGCACAGATTTTCATTTGTGGCACAGTCCAGTGCGCACACGTACAATGGACAATTGAAGAAGCGACTGATTTGCGCTTAGGTAGCTGCCTGGAATGCCAATGCCAGAGTGAAAGAGATCAGCCACAAATCGGAATGCTTTCATTTGTGACTGCCACCAGGCACCCAGCCAGCCTGCTCCATATTGCCTTTGTGGCCAGCTGGCGAACAATGAGAAATGGCAATGACAAGTCCGATTGAAGGGATCACGTAACCCCAGAGCCAGCTAGCTTCTTCCTTGCTTGCTCGCTTTTGTCTTGGTTCCAGTTTTAGCTGGCTTGAACACTTGATTTATGCATTCATGCATACATCACCATGTCGCACTCAAAGCCAGAGCATTTAAATTAATACACATTTTCTGCTATTGATTACAGTTATTGATTTGAGTGCGTTTATGTACTGTGCTCAGCGCTTTCCTCGTTGAAATTGCGCTCTTTGCTTTTTGCATTTCATTTATTTGTGTGTAAACAAAAAGTTCAATTTACTTTGGCATTTTTGTTTACCCGAGGCGAACCCCATTGGCATTATTTAAAAATTGTTTTTTTTTTATATTTTTTAAATGATTGCTCATAAACAAAATGAAATTGCAAATGATGAGAAAGTATTGCGAGTGGGCGTGTGATAACAGGCGTTACAGCCAGCGATTGTTTTCGAAATTGGCTGAATTTTCTTATAATTGGCCTAAAAAATGAAGAGGGAAGCAAATGAAAGTGGAGGGCGTAAATATGGAGGATAATAGAAAAGTTAAGCAGAGAAAATGCTGCACAAAGAAAAGACACTTCAGGGTAAGGGAAGGATATTGGTTACATAAATTTCTATAAGACTCTAGTTAATATATGCAACGCTCTCGCGCGCTCTCCCCCCCTCCCCCCTCCCTCTCTCTTTCTCTCTTTTTCCCCCTATCTCTCCCTTTCCTTTCTTTCTCCTGCTCTCCTGTCTCTCTTACTCTCTCTGCCCCTCTCTTTCTCTCTCTAAGCGCCTCTCTTTTTCTCATTCTCATAGATCCTGCTATACAGAAATGGGTTTTTTCTCTCTCTCTCTCTCTCTCTCTGCCTCGCTCTTTGTGTCTCTCTCAACTCTATGCGGCCTGCCTCGCGTCTCATTAATAAATATTTGTAATTAACTATATTGTGATGCACTCTCACGCGGCTGCAACGTAAATTTCTCATTAGTTATGTGATTTTCTTGGCAACGGCAACAACATCAACATCAACATCAAACTGTAACAAAGGCCAACCGTGATTATAATAGAAGGGCTGACAGCCAAGCCAAGAGACACGTGGGTTGGGGGAGACACGCGGTGCCACACTTAAAGTTGCATGCATAATGCATATGGGCTGTCAGGGTGCCGCAGCAGCAGCAGCATTTAACTCAGCTGACGTATAATACAACTTTAATTGCTTGAATCTGCACTTTTGGCTTAAACGCAGCTGCTTTCGGCTTAACGCTTTATATTTATCGTGTTGTTGGCTTTCATAAAACAGTCGAGTCATGGTCACATCGCAGCATAAATTGCAAACGTGTGGGTGTGGATGATTGTGGCATTGGGCGTGGGCGAGTTGAGTTGTTGCTGATGCCACTTGCAGCACGTTCGCTTGGCCCCTGGCCCCTGGCCATGACTGTGATGTATGTATATATTTGTGTACTGAGCACACACACAGCTACAAATACGTATACAAATGCAAACATAACAGTTAACTGTAAATATTTTGGCAGACTTTCTATTCAGTCAGCTAATATCCTAGCAAATTTCCGCCAGATGTCCTCGGCACAATTCTCTAATCTAGACACACACTCTCTCTCTCTCACTTTTACTCTCTACTCTCTACTCTCTGCTTTTTAGTCTTTTGTGTGGCTTTCTATGCCTCACTGAGCAAAAACAAAATTATGACAATCTATGTCAACTGTTGGTGAAACGTAACACAAAGCATTGAAGGGCTTGCTTATTCCGGATTAACAAATAGTACATACCCTAGGCAGATGGATACATGAAATTTGTTGTTTGTTGCTTTGGTAATTTTTCTCTGTTCTGCTACCCACAGCACTCATTTCAAGTGGGCCGTAAAGGTATTGTCTAAATTTATACAAAAGTGCCTACGCTAGCAGATGGACAAATGAATATTTTACTATGGCAACTGTTTGTTATATTCAATTGTTCTGCTTTAGACCAGAAGCTGGGCTGAATATATGCAGACAAAGTGCTTTATATTTTCAAATGCGTATATTTATATTTAGCATTAATAGCCGAGTCGTCTACCAAATTAGGTGTCTCCCAAGGTTTGATGATACTTCGAAATAATTTTAAAAAATCTTGAACTATATTTAATATCTAGGCGATCCTTACCCACTTTACACCCAGCTATTTCAGTAGTATTTCAATTTTCCTTTTTTAGCTTTGCAAATTACGATTCCTGCTCTTAATTACAGGCAACAATTATTTCTGTGAAACAAATCTTTACTGGGCAATCATGTTGCCAGCTCGAATGCTTATAAAAACATTCCCTTGGCATATTCATTTGGTTTCATACAATTTTAATCAAATCGCTCAGGTGCCACAGCCTGTTGACACAGCAGCGGCCTTGCTATTGTCCTTGCCAATAATTCAAATGTCAGTCAGCTGAGGCTGCTGCTGCGTCTTATTTAAAAAAAATTCTTTTACTGGAGCAAAAAACTCGATTTATTCTGAAAAAATGCAGCTGAAGGAATTTGTTAAGTCGTATGAAATTCACATTACCGTTAACATGTATGGCTGTGTGTGTGTGACCATGAGTGTGTGTGTCTATTTGCTGTTGTGTTGGATTCGCGCTCAGCACTCTACTTTTGGCCTCATCACGCATACGTCATGTTGTCGGGCAGCAGACAAAAGCGAGCTCATTTGACATTCGCATATCATATAAGAAAATTGCTTAAGGAAGCGTTCACAAAAACTTGTATATCAAAGACAGAACTTTTTCGAGCTTAACCCATTACCAGAAAGCACATCAAGAATTTAAATATATGTTTGAAATCTGATGTCTACTGTCTGCTGCAGTAAAAAATTTGACACTGAAGACTGAATTTATTATCGCGCAAGAACACTTCAGGATAAGAAATGCAGCCTGAAGCGAGCAAGCAGCTGGAATAGCTAAACAATGAGATACTAATGATATTATTATTATGCATAGCAAACATTGTAATCTGATTAATAGAGTGTGCGTCATTATGCTTGGGTCTCCTGAACAGATATGCAAATTGACAGCACGTTCACTCC